ATATATATATATATATATATATATATATATATATATATATATATATATATATATATATAACTATTTAAATTCAACATTGGATCTTTTTTCAATAGTTTGGAAATAGATTAAATGGAAATCCATTGTGGTTTGGATACAATGGACTGTAATTTTCTCTCATAGGAGATTTAAAACATAATTTAATATGCAGTTTCAGGAGAGAAAATAAATAAAAAGAAAGAGGCAGAATAATTTTTTATATTTATCTGTCTACATATATATTTTCAGAGATTTATACATCACTATAAAATCTAAAAACTTATACTTGTGTAGTTAAATTCTATCAGTTGATTATTAATTGACCCTATTTTTAAAATATATATTATTTGATAGTTCTTATGTTAAACTTTTTATTTCATATATTTATAATTCAAACTAGCTAAAATTAACCATAATTAGTGGTTGTTGATGGTTTTTGTGTGGATGTACATAATCTCATATATATATATATATATATATATATATATATATGTAAATATGTTATGGGTAAATATGTTGTCTTAAAAAGGAACAGAAATTGTCTTAATAAAAGATTAAAGAAAAATAAACAGGTTCAGTGAATCAGTGCCGTTGAATTCGAACGGATGAACGGACGGACGAGATTAACTCATCAAGAAAAACCCCACCTCTCTCTGTCTCTCTCTCTCTCTCTCCAACTCCACACCTTCAAAGTTCTGCAACATTGCTCTCGCCTCCTCTTCGATTCTCCTCTCCATCTTCTTCCGTTCATCAAAGACTTCCTTTTTATCATCTTTAACTCACAATATCTGACCGTTTTAGTTGAGGAAAGCTTGGGGTCCGAAAAGGGTTGGATTTTACCCCAAAATATATCTTCTCGGTTAAAATTTCAAAGAAGGCGGGGCCGAAAATGAGGTTTGGAGTTGTCTTCTTGTCTATCTCCCGGATTTCAGTTGGTATTCCATAGATTTGTAGTTATCTACCCCGCGTTGGGAGGATCTTCATGCAAACTGGCCGACCTTAATCGATTTCTTGATGTAGGGTGATATTCTATTTTCTGCATGAATCATATCTATGCAATCCAAATGTGGCTAGTTAACAAAATGATTTCTATGGATTTGATATTGATCTTAATTGAAAACTTCGAATCTTCATTCAATTGGTGAGATTTAGAGTAAATATGGATTAGGTAAATGATGGTATGCAAAATTGTCCAGGATGTCATACTGTCTTTTACATTGGCATAGAGCAAAGGGCAGTGTTGACTCTGAACATGTGTCCCAACTACCATCCTGGTCTGCTTTTATGTTTAAAATGAAATTAATGAACATATTTAGGATATATAGCGATCTTTGGAAAGTTCTCTAACTTCAGGTTTTCTGCAAATTGAATGTGTTTTCTGGGATGACCAGCCAACAATCAAAATCTGGTGATCTCAGTTGATTTCCTGAATCTATTCCTTGTTTTATGGATGGGAATACAAGTAAAAAACAGTAATGCTGCCACCATTGTTAACTGATATTGGTGGGTCAGTTGCTCGGTTATACCAGATGTAGTCTATTCTTTAGCAAGATGTCTTTACAATTATTGGACCATAATGTCTTTAGCAAGATGCAGTCTATTCTTCCTAATTTACATAAAGAAAGAGGCTTCAAGCTTGTTCGAAATCTTGCGTCAGTTGTAAAATGCATACAGGAAAACTCAAGATCCATTTGATTCTCTTTATTAAGTTTTAGATTAATATGAGAACCAATTATGTAGATGTCACTGGCTGTTTTTTGTATAGTGTTAACTATCATTCTATGGTGATATCAGACTTATGGTTCGAATGATCTTTATGTTTTCTGTGCCTTCAAGGGATTAAAAAGGCAGCACTGTGGAAAGAAACTCGATGTGTGAGAAAGAGAGATGCAATTCCATGACTTGGAGGATAATTATTTCAAGTGCCAATTTACCATGACAGATGATCAGTAGCTGAAAACCTATGCACAGACTTGGAAAGACGATAAAAACAATGGAAAAGGTAAAACTGCAAATTGAAATGGTTTGAAGAACAGCTAGATTCACTGTGCACAGAAAATATGAAGGTTATTTTGCTATGTTTTGATCTATGTGAGATGCAAGTTACGATTCATGTATGTTTAATTATGATTGATAACAAGTCTCAATTTATGAACATCCATTATGACTTAAACAAGGCAAAGAAATACATGATTTGTGTGTGATAATTAAAGTCTCTCTGACCAGGAATGTATTTGGCCATGATCTGCTTCACCGTTCACCAGTAAGAAGCTTTTAGTATTCTTTACATGAATAGTATGAAATGTAAAATTCTAGACTGATACGAAACATATGCTATAATCCATGTACTAATCAGATGCTGCTTGCGACCTTATTTGTACATATTATTGGGAGCTGATAATGCCTTTATAGTTGTTTCTAGTAGTGCTAGAAAATAGCTCTGGAATTACTATATGTTACTAGAACAACTAAATATCAGCCTTCTTAACAACAGTTAGGCATTCTAGTTGCCTGAACAATTGCAATGGTCACACTTATTTTCTTAACATGCAATGAAATATACAGTATTCCTAGAAAAAGAACTGTTGCTGGAACTCAAACTGTCTGATGAATTTGCAGGCACTTGTTCAACCAGCTTCTTCAATAGCCCAAAAATTATGGGTTTCATGATTCAGTTGTTCTGGAAAAGCTTCTTGCCAATAAATGGTACATTTACTACACTGCAATTACAAATGAGTTTGAACTTTGAAGATCTTGCCAAATCTGACCTGGTGGATCCATGCAGAGTTTCAAAATGTGCTTTTCTAAACTGCAGAATCAATGTCTTAATAACTCAAGCTGTCAAAGTGGAGAAGTGGAGAAAAGAAGGTAGATTACTTGTTTTGAAATGATATAAACCTTGCAATTCCATCACTCAGAACTCAATACTGCCAAACTGAAAATTCTAACTGTCTGGCTTGCTGATTACTTGGGGATGACAATGTATGATGATTATTAAAAAAACATTGAAATATGAAAAGATTTTTTTGGGTGAAGAGTATTGCTTGATACAAATATATTAATGATTCTTCCAAAGTACAAAATCAATATCATAATAATTCAAGCTGCCAAAGTGGATAAAAGAAGGAAGATTACCTGCTTTTCCTTTGGCTTCTTGGATGACCTAAACCTTACAATTCCATCAGCCAGGACTCAATACTGCCAAATTGGAAATTTTAGTTGCCTGGCTTGCTGATTACTTGGTGATGACAATGGATGATGATTGTTAAAAAGCTTTGAAATATGAAAAGATTTTTTTAGGTAAAGAGTGTTACCTGATGCTGGTATCCTAATGACTTTTTCAAAGTGCAGAATTAATATCATAATGACTCAAGTTTTCAAAGTGGATAAAAGAAGGAAGATTACCTACATTTCCTTTGGCTCCTTGGATGACCTAAACCCTGCAATTCCATCAGCCAGGACTCAATACTGCCAAACTAGAAATTCTAGTTGTGTAGCTTGCTGATTACTTGGGGATGACAATCGATGATGATTGTTAACAGAGTTCTCAAATATGAAAAGATTTTTTTGGGTGAAGAGTGTTGCCTAATACATATATCCTAATGACTCTTCCAAGTACAGAATCAATATCCTAATGACTCAAGCTGCCAAAGTGGATAAAAGAAGGAAGATTTTCCTTTGGTCATCCAAGGGAAGGGTGTTGCCTGAGACAGCTAGGACTCTCTACCCTATAATTCCATCAGCTAGGACTCTCTACTGCCAAGCTAGAAATTCTCACTACCTGGCTTGCTGATTACTTGGGGATGACAATGGATGATGATTGTTAAAAAAACTTTGAAATATGAAAATATTTTTTTTGAGTGAAGGGTGTTGCCTGAGACAGATATTCTAATGACTCTTCCAAAGTATAGAATCAATATCCTAATGACTCAAGTTGCCAAAGTGGATAAAAGAAGGAAGATTTCCTGCTTTTCCTTTGGCTCCTTGGATGACCTAAACCTTGCAATTCCATCAGCCAGGACTCAATACTGCCAAATTGGAAATTCTAGCTGCTTAGCTTACTGATTACTTGAGGATGATAATGGATGATGATTGTTAAAAAAGCTCTAAAATATGAAAAGATTTTTTTGGGTGAAGAGTATTGCCTTGCAGAATCAATATCCTAGTGATTCAAACTGTCAAAGTGGATAAAAAAAGGAAGATTACTTGGTTTTCCTTTGACTTCTGGAATGACCTAAACCGTGCAGCCAGAACTCAATATTGCCGAACTAGAAATTTTAGCTGCCTGGTTTGCTGCTTACTTGGGGATGACAATAATGATGATTATTAAAAAAAATTAAAATATAAAAAAATTTAGGTGAAGAATGTTTCCTGATATAGATATGAGCGGTGTGAAAATCCAGAGCCTTAACCGTCGGGAAAAATATGTTAAAGCGGAATATTTTTTTTTTCTCTTTGTGTATCAAAATGAGTTTTTCATCAAAATATCAACTTGATATCAAAATACAAATATTAATCAGAGTAATATAAATAGTAGAACAATAAATCAATCACATAGTAAGATTAAATTTTAACGTGAAAAACCTAATGCGGAAAAAATATATCATCAATAGTAATGATAACAGGTTTACAGTAAATTTTCTCTAGAATAACCAGAGGATTACAATAACATCAAGAACATAGATCTTAGCTTAAGAATAGCATATTATCATCAGATAGGATAAATCTCATCGAAGGAGAATTCTAGGTCTCACAAAGTGGGTATAGTAGGAAAGTACCTCAAAGAAGGTAAACTGCACATTAGTACCGTTAAGATTGTATAGCTTGCTGCAAAACTAATAAAATTTGACTCTAATCGTCAAGCAGAAAACTCAAAATTCTTTTTTTTTCTCTCTTCTCTTTCTTTTTGTTCGCTTCTTCTTAGGCAAAGACTTTGTCAATATATTTGATTCATTCTCATTGGTATACAGATTTTCCAACTATAATTCTTTCAATTCAAGCACATCATGAATCCAGTGATATCTCACATCAATATGCTTGAATCTAGAATGATATATTGAATTCTTGGAGAGGTGAATGACGCTTTGACTGTCATAGTAAATAGTATATTCTTTTTGTTTCAAGCTCAATTCCTATAGAAAATTTTTCATCCATAATGCTTCTTTACATGCTTTAGTAATTATTATATATTCTGCTTCTTCTGTGGTTGATAGAGCAACATAATTCTGTAATTTAGATTGCCAAGAGATTGCTCCTCCTACAAATGTCATCAAAATCCCTGAAGTAGACTTCCTAGAATCAGTATCACATGTCATGTCTGCATCTGTGTACCCTTCTAATACAGGTTCATCACTGCGAAAACATAAACACAACATGGAAGTACCTCTTAGATATCTTAATATTCATTTCACTACTACCCAATGTTCCTTACCAAAATTAGAGAGAAATCGAATGATAACTCCAACTGTATGAGCTATATCTAACCTAGTATAAACCATAGCATATATCAAACTGCCTATTATAGATGAGTAAGACACTCTAGATATTTCTTCTTTTTCTTTCTCACTTATAGGACATTATTTCGAATTAAGCTTCAAATGACCTACAAGTGGAGAACAAACTGTTTTCGCTTTACTCATTTTGAATCTTTCAAGAATCTTTTCAATGTAGGTCTCCTGAGATAGTCAAATCTTTCTTTTCTTCCTATCACGAAGAATCTTCATACCAAGTATTTGTTTCAACGATCTCAAGTCTTTCATAGCAAAAAACTTACTTAGCTCTCTTTTAAGTTTTTCATTTTTACTAGCATCATGACCAACAATCAACATATCATCAATATATAGTAAGAGAATAATGAAATCATCTGAAAATTTCTTCATAAATACACAATGATCAGATGTAGTTCTGGGTATAAGGCTCATCATAAATGAATTAAACTTCTTGTATCACTGTCTAGGTGCCTATTTGAGTCCATATAAGCTTTTCATAAGCTTACACATAAGATTTTCTTTTCCCTTGACTTTGAAACCTTCTGGTTGCTCCATGCAAATTTCTTCTTCTAAGTCACCATGAAGAAATACTGTTTTCACATCAAGTTACTTAACTTCTAAATTCAAGCGGGCAACCAAACCAAGAATAACTTGGATAGAAGATATTTTCATCATAGGAGAAAATATTTCTTCAAAGTCAATATCTTTCTTCTGATTGAATCCTTTTACAACTAGTTATGCCTTGCATCTTTATTGTGAGCTATTATTTTCAGTCTTCAATTTATAAACCCATTTGTTCTTGAGATCTTTCTTCTTTTTAGACAACTTTACTAAGTTATAGGTGTAGTTCTCAACCAAGGATTTCATCTCTTCTTGCATGGCTTTAACCCACTCATTCTTATGCTCATGTAGAATAGCTTCTTAGTTAGTTTCTAGCTCTCCTCCGTCAGTAAGAATAACATACTCATGTGGAGGATATCTAGTAGATGGTTGTCGCTCTCTAGTAGATCTTCTCAATGGAATCTCAACTGGTGGTGGAGGTGCTTATTCAGTTGGTTCAACATTATCAACTGTAGGAGTATCATCACTTGCATTCTCACTGCAATCTTCTTGTTCATCTCCCCCATGATCATCATGAACTACAGGTGAAGGACCTAAACTCCAAGGAATATAAACAGAGGTTTTTAGCTTATTAACATTATCATTATCATCAAACAATTGGTCTTCAAGAAACGTAACATCTCTACTTCTAATAATCTTCTTGTTCACTAGATCCCATAATCTGTACCCAAACTCTTTGACCATATCCTAAGAAGATACATGCTTTTGCCTTATTATCAAGCTTGAACCTCTTATCTTCGAAAATATGAATAAATGCTTTACACCTAAAGACTCTCAAGTGATTATAATATATATATTTTCCTTTCCATACTCTCTTTAGAACATCACCTTTCAGAGGAACTGATGGAGAAAGATTTATCAAGTCAACTGTAGTTCTCATAACCTCCCCCCAAAATGACTTAGGTAACTTGGTATGAAAAAGCATATACCTAATCCTTTTTTCATTGATTTTGTTCATCCTTTCTACCACATCATTCTGCTAAGGAGTTTTAGGAACTATTTTCTCAGATACCATGAAATATACAATAATTCTCAAAAAGACCATTGTACTCGCCACCATTATCTGCTCAAACACACTTTAGCTTTCTACTAGTTTCTCTTTCAATAATGACATAAAATTCTTTGAAAATATCGAGTACATTGTCTTTAGATTTCAAAACAAAAGCTCAAACTTTTATAGAATAGTTATCAATAAAAGTAACAAAATAAAGAGCACTTCCAAGAGTTTTCTAGTTTGCATTATACAGACATCAGTATGAACTAAATCAATAACATCTGATCTTTTAGATGATGAATATATATGAAATGCAACTCTATATGTTTTTCCAACTAAGCAATGATCATAAGATTTGAGAGATGTACTTTACAACTTTGGTAAGAACTACTTTCTAGCAAGAGTTTGAAGTCCTTTCTCGTTGATATGACCAAACCTCTTGTGCCAAAGATCTATACTTTCACCATTCTAAGTTATATTAATCTATCATTTGTGTTACTTAGTTTCTATGACATAAAAAGAGTTAAGGTTCTTTCCTCTTGCCATAATTAGAGAACCTTTAGTGAGTTTCCATTTGCTTTCACCAAAATAGTGTGTAAATCTCTCATCATCAAGTTTACTTGTAGATATCAAGTTAAGATGAATATCTGGAACATGTCTGACATATTTAAGTATCAATTTGCTCTCAATACTGATCTCCAAGTAAATATCTCCAATACTCATAATCTTTAATGTACAATTGTTTCCCATTCTGACATTACCAAAATCACCAACAGTATAAGATATGAAGAAATCACCATGAGAAGTAACATAAAATGAAGCACGAGAGTCAATTATCTAGTTACTATCTTGAACTACAAGATTGACACAATCGTCATCACAAATAATAATGATATCATATTCAGTAGCAACTATATTG